TTTTTTGGTTGCAGCTGTCATTGTTGTTTGGCAGGCCCAGGCTGGATTTGAACCCACCACCTTAGGTGTATGTGGCTGGCGCCTTAGCCACTTGAGCCAGTATTTCTCCTTCAGTTGTATTGGCCAATACTCCCAGGGCAGTGGCAAACCATGCTGGTGACCAGAGGGACTTTATCTTGTTCTTAACTAATGAAAATGCTTTGGATGTTCCACCCTTAAGCATAGGACAGCTTGTGGCTTGACATGGACATGATCCACTCACAAAGCTGTCTGTCGTCTGTTGTAGATTTCACTTTCCGAAAACAGTTGGAATAATATTTCCCATTCCACTTGTCCTCCCAGGACATTTACACTCTCCTATCAAGAGGTGGAGTCCCTTTGAACCTGGGTGGGCAGCTGTGGCTGCTTTGAGTAAACAGAGTCTGGCAGAAGTGACAGTAGTGACTTCCAAGGCATGAAAACCTCCTCCCTTGGAACCAGAGGACATGGTGTAAAGAAGATAACAGAGGAGGCACTTGTGAAGAGAAACCAATGCCCTCAGCACCCACTGCCCTGCTTGCCAGCCCTGTCACTGTGTCACCTAGGCAATGGCTGCTCGGTAAAGTGAGTGCTTTGAGTTGTTTTAAGCCACTGTTTGGGAATAGTTGGTTAAGTACCACTTTTTTTGCAGTTTGGCCAAGGCCGGGTTTGAACCTGCCACCCTCGGATATGGGGCTGGCGCCCTACTCCCTGAGCCACAGGTGCCACCCTAAGCATTCACTTATTAACTGAATCATCATCTATTCTAATGTTATTCCTGTTTTAAAATGCCTGTAGTCCCAGTTACTTGGGAGGCTAAGCTGGGAGCATCACTTGAGCTCAGGAGCTGAGGCTTCAGGGAGCTGTGATTGTGTTACCGGATAAAGAGGGTCTGGTTGCCTGTCACTGTCAGCGAATATGCAGAAATAGTGATAGGTCCACCATACTTTGTCAGGCCAGAATTCTGGAGAACAGTGAGAATAGCCTTTCCAAAACTGTTTTGTTCTTCCATTTCCAAAATTACAGTTTTATGCATAAAAGTTCAATGGAAAGGCTTAGCACCTATACCTCAGCGGCTAGGGCGCTAGCAATATATACCAGGCCTTGGCTCAGCTCCTATAGCTCAGTGGCTAGGGTGCCAGCCTCATACACCGGGGATGGCAGGTTCAAACCCAGCCCGGGCCTGGCAAACAACAATGGCAACTACAAAAAAAAAAATAGCTGGGCGTTGTGGTGGGCACCCATAGTCCCAGCTACTCTGGAGGCTGAGGCAAAAGAATCGCTTAAGCCCGAGAATTTGAGGTTGCTGTGAGCTGCAATGATTGCTGTAAGCCGTGATGCCACAGCACTCTACCGAGGGTGACATAGTTAAACTCTGTCTCAAAAAAAAGGCTCAATGCCTATAGCTCAGCAGCTAGGGCACCAGCCATATACACCAGAGCTGGCAGGTTTGAATCCAGCCCAGGCCTGCCAATCAACAGTGGCAAGTACTGTGTTTCCCCAAAAATAAGACAGTCTTATATTTATTTTTTCTTAAGAAGACACACTAGGGATTATTATTATTTATTTTTTTTTTGCAGTTTTTAGCCAGGGCTGGGTTTGAACCCACCACCTACCTCTGGGTTCAAGGTGGGGCCAGTGCCCTACTCCTTTGAGTCACAGGTGTCAGCCACACACTAGGGCTTATTTTCAGGGGATGTCTTCCTCTGACACATCCTTCCTCTTTTTTTTTTTTTTTTTTGAGACA